TTCTTGCATATGAATACCTGGAAGCAGATTTGGAAACATTTAGGGGTTTTCATGAATGTCAGCAAATTGTTAACAGGTTTTTATTTTCCTGGAGACATTTCATGACTAGTCTTAGCTGTCAAATTTTATACTGCTTAAGTTCTACATCTACAAATAAACAAAAAAACATATTAAGCCAGTTTAAAAAAATCTTTGCACTTCCAAAGCTTCTTATATCTCAGGATCTCAAAAAAGTTTAAACAAACAATGTGCCTAATCCTAAGGTTTGGTTTAAATGAGGTCACTCAGCACCTTTAAGTAGACTCTTAGGATATTTTGCCAGAGTGAAAGATACATCATTTTATGTCAATAGGGTAAGCTCCAACCATTTGGAGGTTCTCCCAGTTTCAGACTGTAAATTCTTTAGGGCAGAGAATGACTTTGACCATATGCTTAGGTAGTAGTATATAGATTTTACTGGGAATTCTGGGCATAACTGAGATGCAGGTAGGCTGAAAAAGAAAGAGAATAAGAAGTACCAATGACACAATGCTCACCAAGGCAGGATTTGGTCTGATAAAAAATGGTAATTCTTATGTTCATATGACTTCCAAAATTCTACTCACGCACAAACTTTCAATTTATTTGTAGAGCTTATTGGGACTGTAGATTCAATCCATTTTCGTGTACCATTAACACTACTCCTTTTGGCACAGGACTATGTTGTGTACAACTCAGAAACACTTGGCTATGCCTTTCTCATTGCTGCTCCTGTGCTCTACAGAAATCTGTTTACCATGTTTTTCATAAAGGAACTCAGTTCATTCCTTGGTTTATAGATGTTTTGCAATACCTGTGTTTCTGCTGAACAGAATTTTCCAACTCTGAAATATTAAATCCAGGATAAGTAATGATGCCTGAGAGTTGACTGCTTATCAAATTCTAAGTTCCTGTAGTGAAAATATTGATCTAATGTGTAACTATGGATTCTTACACAAATCCTGATTCCCTTTCAGCAGCTTAGCATTGACTGTGATGACTACAGTCACCTGTGGCCCTCTCGTTGGAGAGAAGGTAAAAAGACATTTCTATTTTAAACCAGCAAAGAACAGATTTCAACAGGTCAAAGTCCTAAGAATTACTAGCTTTAGTGATTCTTTTGAGTTTGTTTGCATAATGCTGATTTGCAGTGCTGATGCCCACATGAACACAGTATGGTAAATAAATGTTCTTCTTTTGGATATGACTCCTTAAGCCCTTTCACACCCAGCCAGCAGAGTGGGAAATGCCAGGGAGTCTGGCTTCAGCCACTGGCTCAGGTATCAGGTTAAGCTTGAAAGGTCAAATTCTGGAAATCAACATTGCAGAACCTTGATATGTAAATATAAGCTAAAAGATTCATCTCACCTAACATTCTAAGTCTTAAGTTAAACATCTACTGCAAGGTTCGTAGATTAAAGGTGCTTCTTCTATGCTTCTTCTATAATCATCAGAGACAGACATCTATACAGGCATCTTCACTGGGAGGATTTCTCACTTGAACACTGTTTACTGTAGAAGGACTTCAGAAAGCTAATATAGCAAGACATCCTTTTTCAGATGCAAAAATAAATTCTGCTCCAAGCATGGCAAGAGCTTTCTGGACTTTGCCAAAGATTAATCTCTTCAAACAGACATAGCTATTGAGATGTACTGGCGGAACAGCATTTTCAAATGTGAATATTTCTGAGCATTCCTGCTGTAGAGAGATTACATAAATGCTTCCTGAATTATAGCTTATTTAGAAGTGAAGTGCATACCTTAGTTAATATTCCTAAAAAAAAAAAAAAAAAAAAAAAAGCCCAAAAAGCAGCGACATTTCACATAATTTTGAAGTTGGCAGGGTAGTGAAAAGGCTTGTGTGTGATAGGCACTAAAGTCTGTAAACCGTTATAATAGTACTGCTTTGTCTAAATCATAGGGCCTAAAAGATCTAATAGATCAACACGTTCATCTGTCTGCCAGAGGACTGCCCATGTTCTGAAAAGTCACAACAATTCAAAGAAGAGCAAATAATAGAGATTAATGAGCAAAGAACAATGTAGTTATTGCAGTGGAGTTGGTTTCTGAAACAAAACAGAATTTAGCAGCTAAATAAAGTGGAAGCTATTAACTGCATCTTTATTACTATGCAAAGGCAAGTAGCAACTGTGTAATTTAACTAGGTCCATTATGCAATCTTTTTTCGAATTCTTTCCTGATCTGCTAAACTAATCTCTGTTTTTTAGGGGGTTTGAAAATTAATTAAATGGATTAAAAATGCAGCTGAAAGCCAGGATTATTTAAAGAATGGAGAACAATAGGAAAGCATGACAAGGAAAGATCAGCCATTTGACAATGAAGCAACATCCTGAGCCTGAAGCACAATACTATTGAGTAAGCATCTGAGAAAATGTTTTATTTCTTCACCCAGGATGCATTCTCTTTCCTCTTTCTCCTCCACTCCTAGCAGTGGACTTTGGCATGATGTTAACTTAGAGAAGTTTAACTTGGGTTTTCCTAGGTGGGACCAAGAACTCCATTTGTTATGTAGCTCTGTAATATGTCCTACATTTATGGTGTATACTGGATGTCCCAATTTCATCCCACTTAAATATAGGCAGCTACCCATGGGTTGTAGCATCCCTAAATGCCCTTTACAGTAGAGAGAACTCCAGCAGCTGACAATTCAAAGAGCCAAAATACAGATTACTTTCTGGAGATCTCCGCTGATTCTAATGGAAACCTAAAATGGGTATAGTTAACACAGGTGGCTAAGTTAGGGGGGAGGATTCTCATCCAAGCTATGTTGGATGAGAATCCTCCCTACCAGAAGTGAGGGTTAAAAAGGTCTTTCTTTCTACAATGTTTGTAGTATGTGCTTCAAACACTGTTCCTACCACAGTTTTCCAGGCAGCATGAACAAGGGTATTTATCTGCTGTAATGCTGGCTTCTTCCCAATAATGTCTTGTTATGTAATTATCAGAAAATAAATCTTTGTCTATCGTCTATCCAGTAATCATGCTACAATCATGCATGCCCTAGGATTTTTAATTTTCAAAGAGATCATGATGCCTTTTAGGATGTAAGGAATTTTCACCTTATTTTTTGGTCACATGGACAAAATCCTTGCAAGTCATAGGAGCAGTGCTGCACTATCAGTTAATTTAACAACATATTAACAACAAAAGTCAGGCACTTTTGAAGATTTGGAAAATATATTGAAAGGCTGTATAATTGAAACTAACACCTTTTCATTTAGGCATGTAAAACCAGTTTTACCTTTTTATCTAATTTCCTGTGCCTTTTACTAGTGATTCAGTTACAGCTCCTTTCCGTTAGGAATTGGCAGTTCAGTAGTTCAGTGGACCAAAAAGTAATGAAATATTTTTCAAGTTTTGTTGGAAAACCAATACAGTAGTGCTATTACTAATGAGGAACATACTCATACTACAACTGGACTTTTGTTCTGTCACAGTTATACAATCCTTACTGATTAACCAGAGATGCACATGCTCACCCAAAGATAAAACTGAGTCCTGTAGTGGGGCTGAATCTACTAAAAAGCACCAAATTTGTTCAAATTCACTTACAGGAATAATTTAGACTCACAGTTTTCAATCACGGTCTGCACAGAAGGTTGATTATATTTTCTTAATTGTGGACAACAGAATTAGAGATGGGTCTGGCTTAGAGCCCCAGGCAAAATGCATCTTCATTTTAGAGAAGTTCAAAACACAAACCAGGTCCCAAATAAATACTTTTTTCCCTCACAAAATCAGAGCATCCAAGTCTTATTTCTTCCTTCAGAAAAATCTGAGAAGGGGACAATTCTTTAGAACATATCAATTCTTATTTGCATAACTCAATTTAAATCTGATAGTGAACACAGTTATTAAATCTTCTGGACTGACATATTATTAAATGATCGTTTGATGATCACTGAACTTATTTGCAATCTTCCCTTAGTCTTGGGTATTTAAAATCTCTTGGGTTTTATTTGTTGTGTTTCAGGACACCTGACTTGACTGTGATGACAATTTCACCCACCAGGTAATAATAAATTGTGCTTTTGCAACAATTTTGTGGATGGTTTCCATTGTTTGTCTCTTAACTTCATCTTTATGTGCTTTTTTTTCATAGCCACTGTATTACTTAATTCCTGCAATTTTTATTGTTGTGGTTTTCTTTCTACTTTTTTTTTCCTCTTTTTTCCTCTACTTCATTCCTTTGCTGTTCTACATTTTTGCTTAGTCTAACATTTATTGTGGTTTATTTTTAGGGTACGTATATATTTGGGGTGGAATTATAATCTGGACATTTATATACTGAGTTTATATTTTTGTTGGAAAAATATATAATTGATGACTGTTCTTACTCTTCTGAGAAATGCCAATAACAAATGGCAGGCTTCAGTGCAATGAATCCTCTACTGTTTTAACAAGACAAAACATTGAAAGCAGGCAAAGAGAGTACGACAGGATAATTTTTTACAGTTTATACTGGGGTCAGAAATATTGCAAATATTGGTGTTTGACTTTCAGAATTGTCATAATATTCTGAAATACCATTCAGATGTCAATAACATTTTGCAAAAAACATGGAAAAGATATACTGGAAATAATTCTGTTGAAAGGAAATAACACACTTGAAGCTGGAAATTCCTTTTTTTACTTCTAGGCAGATTTCTCTGTTTATTTAGATGTTAAAGAGATCTATTGCCTTTTAAAGTACAATACTAATACCTGTGTTAGTTTAACTGCCCTTTTCCCACACATGTATGTTTTTGCAGACTAACACCTACTGATACACTTTTCAAACCCTTAAATCCCCTCTGATTCTCAGAGTGCTCTTCTGCCTTCATTTCTGAATGATGGTCACAAAGCATGAAGCCTACTGGAATAAATACGGTTTCTGAATGCTAGTCCACAGGTTTCACTATTGTTTGAGCATGTGTGTAGATAAAGTCTGCTCACCCAAAAAAAACCCCACACAGTTAAGGTTTCTCTCAAAATTGGTTATTATTTGAAAGACCAATTGTCTTTTGAAGTTAATATATATGGGTAGGATTCGAAGGAAGTGTTACAGAGTGAATGACTCAGGACAAGCATGGGCACATATTTAAAGTGAGGTACGCACATGTATTGTGATACATGGCAACATCAACACACAGGCACACTGAGGTGACATTATTGGCACGACTAGGAGAGTTTTTACTTTTGCCTTTACATTAATCCACACTGTTTATTTTGTCACAATTGGTAATTTCTGTTAGATTCAGAACATCTATTATGAATTAGTCATTGCAAAAAGAGACTACTGGGGAAGGGGGAGTAGGTTGAGTTTTGGAACTGGGTTGTTTGTGCATTTGTTTTCTTACAACTGGCAAAATTCCAACAGCTATTCTCCAGAAATTTCACAAGAAACATTCATATGGGCAGGAAATCTACTGGCAAGAAACGGCAGATGAAAGAGTTATGTACTGCTGAATGAGAGTTTTGCACCTGCACATTGCTTAAGTTGGAGCGTATGCTATTAATATTATAACAATAGCATAATCAGTAGGATGCATAGTCATCTACCAAGATTATTTCATTTTGAGACTTCATGGACACTTTTGGCATTAGTGCAAAACAGGGAGCTGAATCAACTTCAAATGTGCAGTAAATGGAACAGGGAAAAAAACCCCATGCTTAAACAATTCTTACCAAGACATCATGTTTAAAATTAGGACAAGAACTATATAACTGAGCCCAAAACAAACTGGATGTCCAAGGACACCAGTGGGATTACAGGCACAGTTGCCCAGTAAGTAAGGGTCAGAGAAGTACTGCTTCGGACTAATTCACTGGATTCTGTTTTATTTCTCCTTTATGGAGAAACTTTTTTTTCCCCTCAGGGTCACTAAACTTAGACTAGAATAGAGCTGTTAAAAAAATTCCTATGGAGCACTTTTTGGGGTCAGGATTTGGTAATTCATAAAAATATTTCCAATGAATACCAAAACACATAAAAAAAGTTTGAAAACAAGTGTTGTCCCAGTTTTGAAACCTGGAAGGCCTGAGGTCTTTAGTTCAAAGGTAGACTACTTGGTGGGCCATCCTGCAATGATAGGCCATCAATCCTCCACCCTGACAGTCAAAAGGTTGAGCAATGGTCTGCCAGCCGGAGCCCTGCAGGCTTACAGAAAAACTCAGCTAAAATCCAACTGTCTCTTAAAGCTTTAGATTTCAGTCATCTGCCAAGATCTCTCTTGAAGTTTGCCAAACAGCTTTGCTTTTGAGACTGGTTCCATCAGCCTTTCCATGTAGACATGTGGAGTTTTTTCTAAATAAATCATTTCACTGCAAAGAAACCACTTTATCCAACTCAGTAGTCACCTAGATCATGCAAAATGGTGTGCCATCCCTGCATTTCTCCCTGGACCCATGATGCTGCTCCTGTCTTCAGGCACAGAAAGGTCGTTCTGGACCTTGAAGATGTGCAATTCAGTCTTTCCATGCTGATCGACACCTCTCCCATGCAGAGTCTTCTCCTTACAGAGTTTCACCTCGAGCGGTTTCTAAGCAGCCATAAGGAGGTAATGCTCACTGCTTCCCCTGGTGAGAATGCTGAGACCTGGGCAAGATGTTTCATGGGGAATTTTGGCCCATTTCTACTGGCATCATCCTGGAACATCCTGAAGTAAGAGAAAACACAGTTGTGAGTTTTAGTAATTCTGTGTGTACAGAATTACTAAATTACAGAAAACACAGTTGTGAGTTTTAGTAATTCTGTGTGTACAGAATTAATAAAATCAACTAAAATGGTAATAAAGAAACATAGAACCTATATTGCTATTTTTTGTGTAAGTATTATGATATATCTACCCAGAACATACAACAGCATTTGGAAGAGCCCTGTGGGGGAGTAGGAAATGCACTGCTGAAACTTGGCACTGCCATGGTACAAAAACTGTTGTCCAGCTACACTTGCTGCCCAGCCCAAGTTCTCCTACATGATAGACAGGCTTGCCTTCACTGAGAATCAAGGAAGCAACATACTTATCTGGAATTTTATCCACCAGAAGGCCAAAATACTGAGCGTGGCCTGTGAACTGAGAAGCAACAATGAACCAACATCCCTGGAAAACCACATGGTGGTCAAAGATTTTCTACTCGTATAGACAAAAATGGTTTAGGGGTCTGACCTGCATATTTATTTATTCATACATTTACTGAGAAAGATTTTTCACTAGTCTCCATACCAAATAAACCACTGCTCTCATCTGAATCAGATTTTTACTATAAAGACAGCTAAATCAACATCAGCATCAGTATGTGATCAGCAGTGTTTTCTGAAGTTTGTTTTCTCTCCTTTATTAGCTGCAAAATCCATTGAGTTGCAAGGAATACTCAGTGGGAAAAGCCATTTAAAATGGCATATTTGCATTGTCATGGGTTGTACTCAATGATCTTAAAGGTCTTTTCCAGCCTAGCTGGTTCTGTGATTCTGTTTATGATTTAATGTTGTTTGAACAACTAATCTATAAACTTTATCATTTTGATATTAGAAAGAAGAAATAAAATGTATATGAAACTTGTAAAGAATCACAGAGTTCTCTTCCAGATTGCTGACAGTCAGTAAATGCCTCAAAAATCTCTCCCACTTCTTTACATGTAGGTATTAAAATTCAGCAGTCCAGTGAACTGGACTATAAAATCAGCATATCTGCCCCAGAACAAGTACACTTTTTGCCTTGCAATAATGTTCTTTGCAGAATGTATTTGTGGGACAGCAGGTTGACACTGGGTGGTGAAAGGTATTCACCATTTTGTAAAACAAAGCAGCCATGGCTAATCTTTTTTGTTTCAGGATAATAAAAGGAAAGTCCCATTTTGCAACTATTAAAGAAAAAAGAAGTTAAAGTAGTACAGATGTAAGCAGAAACACACTCGTTTAAAGGGCTCCATGCCTACTGTACATAATATAATACACTGGTATCCTTAGCATAGACAACAGCTTGTTTTCAATTTGGCTGCAGATAATGAAATTATCCCCCAAATTACCATAAAGTGGAACAAATAAACAAAAAAGCAAACTCTTTCTTTTTCTCTCTCTCTTTTTTTTTTTTTTTTTTTCCTTCAGCAGCGCTGGCTTTCAGCTATTTAGAATGAAAGCAAAGCTTCTGTTTTTCCAGAGCTCCAGTTTGACCTCAAGCAGATAAAGAACACGAAATGACAAACACGCAGCAAAGAGTTACTGTGTCCTTCCCCCCTGGCCTCTGTTTACATTAGGAAATGTACCCGGGGAGGAGGGAAGGGGAGGCAGGAGGGCTGCCTTTCAGCGCCGCGCTCGGCTGCGCTGGCTCCGGCTGGAGCTGGCCCCTGTTTCTGAGTAAGCTTACTCCACTCCAGATGTGCCGCGGCTCCAGCGTGGCTGCCATGTACAGTAAATCGGCATCTGAGGGCTCGTCAATCTGTGGGGTAGAGCAATTGCGGTCTCGCCAGGCCGCCCCACTGGCACAAACAGAAATTTGCGCCGCTGAACTGGAAAAGGAGGAGGAGGAGGAGGAGGGAGAGGAGGGAAAGGGGCGACAGGGAGGCAAATAACGGGAGAGCACTGTGTGAAAGTTGAGGGGCTGGAAGGTGTCTGCTCCCGCGAGGAGAAAGGGAAGAAATAAACACTAACAGTCAACTGAGGAAATGTTCTTAATGCATTTGTAAATTTACTTGTAAATGTTTTACACTTAGAGAGAAAGGGAATGCTGCGTATCATTTGGCAGTGTTGGCTGTCTATAGGTCCCTGTGGATATACTGCTTTAGTACGCGTTGTAACCAGGGCAAGAGAAACATAAAATAGCTGGGAAAACACAGCCAATTAGTCATTACACATAGATTGTAAAAAACAAGAGAGAGAGAGAGAGAGGAAGAGACAGAGAAATAAATGCCCCCAGCAAATTGAGTCCCTCTTGTTTATGTCCCTGCAACATGAGCATGAAAACCAGAGGCAGCAATGCCTTCTAATCAAAGTGCAACTTGCAAACCAGTCAGTGCTCCCATTCAAAATCCTCCCGGATTTCCTGACGCTCACAAGATTTACCTATTTGCTGTCATTGTAAAAAACAAATTGTTTCACTAATCAGGCAGTTTGCTTTGGACACAACCCCAGCTGTATGAACTCCAAGTTGGACGTTCATTTCTGATCTCCTGCCGCCTACGCAGCCATTGCTAACTCAGTTTTAATAGGATGAGAAAACGATCTTTGCTTTTATAGTGGGTTCAAATGAGCTACTCAGCTTCAGGCTGACTATAGCTGTGTTTTCCTAATCACCATTTTTTTACAGCAATTCTGAGGATGAAAATGCCTGCTCCCCCTCCTTTCTCTTCCGACAGCGCCAAGTCTAAGAATGTAAATAAGTGTTAAATTGAAACACAGAACAAAAATGGGTCAGATTTAGTGTAATTGAGTCATAGTTAAATTTAGGCTGCTTTTATTTGCAAATGTGTACTTTAGCAGCAGTTCCATACAGCATCTCTGGATAGAATGAGATGCCTCATTTATTTATTATTTTTACTGTGGTTGTGCCTGAAATTCTCAGTGAAGGCTCTCAGCTCCATTGTGCTCTAAAAGATGAGCTATGCATTTTTAAAACTCTCCTTTGCCAGAGAAGCTATCCTCAGAGTACCATCTGCATTAAATAGCAGCACCTTAAAAGAGCAGAAATATTGTCAGCTGTTCCAAATTTTCAAAATTGTGAATCAAAGCTGAAAAATCCCAAGGCTGCAGGAGAAAAAGTCATAAGATTTTCAAAGAGTTCATCCTTTCTTGTCTCCTAATTTGTGAGTTTTCAAACCCTCACAACATGCTGGTTATTGAAGTTTCTTTTTTAAAAGGGATGTTCAAATTCTCACAGTATCCTTTGACTTAAGGAATGAAGGCTTAAAAGTATAAAATATCACTAGATTTGAAACAAAACTTTAAGACTTGGCAATACAACATACAGTTCTCTATGGGACTTGATTTTCCTTAGCACTCCATTGACTGGATGGGATAGTGAGGTCTCTTCCCTTTACCTCCTGTAAGGTATAAAGGAGTTTGATTCTGACCATGAAGAATATATGTAACCATGTGCAAATAAACAATTAAATATGACTGTTCCTATGCATAACTTTCATACTGGGTTTTCATCACTGGAGGCACTGCAATCATTCTCTTAGATGCAGGGCAATAGAGAAGCTCAACAAGACCCTATGAAGCAAGCAAGCAGGAATACATCTGCAACTGAGGACAAGTCCTTGTACAAAATATGTGTGTCACATTATTAGCTGCTCTGTGAGGACCAGAAGGAGGACACTGCATCCCAGGCTCCAGCCTGTGCTCCAGCCAGCCCCCAAAGACAGTTCATAATTGCTTTATGCCTTGCACCGTCATTTATGTCAGGACAAAATGGACACTTAAAAAGTGTCATCGAATCGGGAAGGCAAGATTAGATCAAAATTACCTCAAAACCTGTCCCTTTTTAGGCTGGCCAAAGCTCTGGTAAATTTACAAGTGGGACTTCCCTCGTACAGGCAGAAATACGAACTGGGTGATTGAACAGGTGTTTTCAACGGCCACAATTTCCATGCAGAAAGGCAACACAGACGGGTCTCATTAGACAGTAGCTGAATTTAGCAAGGAATGTGACTTTTCCCACCCCCTGTTGAATGGGAAAGGCCCAGGGGAAAAGCGATACTTAGAGGACACCAAGAGCAACACAGTTCTTAGCTCATCCACCACAATAATGGCACTAATTTGTGAATAAGTGAGCGTAAAGCTGATAATAGTTGTCTGTAAAGAATCGTGTATGATGGTAAGATGATACCAGAGAACTCTAAGTGACCATGGAGGAATGTATCTAGAAGCCAGGATACAAAATGAGTGCAGCATGAAGAGGGTGTTGAAATTGAATGGGTGAGAGAGATAGGAACAGCAGAGCAAATAATACATTCCCTCTTCAGAGAAGTCCCTCTCAGTATTGTGCTCCCAACTCACTACCACACTGTTTTTCCACATTAGTTTGAGCCGTGTTTTCACCATGTAAAATCAATCCCAATTACGTGTGTATTATAAATGTAGATTCTTAAGCTCAGGTTTGGTAGTCAGAAAGGCAAATTCCCTGACAAAAGTTTTAAAAGAACAAAATTAACCAATTATCTTACTAAAATATGATTATATCTTCTTTCTTTAATGGCTCAATTACTACAAAGTGCACTTTTTCAAGATAGAAGGTACTAATGAGTCAGGAAAAAATGCTTGAAAAATGAATAATGGCTTGTATTTCCAACAAAAACTGCATTTTATTCATGCATTAGGATCCTGGATCTACTATTTTCTTTGGGTTTTCTTCTATACACATTCCAGTGCACCTGACAACTGAAGGCAGAACAGTACTGTCCAACCATTGTGTGGGCAGATGTTGTGTAAATTTCCACAAGACATTCTGCCAAGCCTTCCTCTTACACAGACCTCTGACACCTGCATTATTTGGAAGGATTAGTTTCTGTATCATTTCCCCGAGAGACTGAGGCAAGAAGAGCAACCGAGAACCTGGCTGCAGAGCAATCGTGCAGAGTAGATACAAATGCAATTATCCTTCCCTATTTAAGGAAAATGTAGCAGCCCTAGGTCCCCAGGAAGACAGTAGTGGTTCACCTCATGCATCTCTTAAAAAAGTGGAGATTAACAAAAGTCTATTAAGTATCCTGTTTATAATTAATTTCAAAGCACAATAAAATTTAAATAGACTGCAAGAATAGGCTGTGTTGTAATTGCAAGTGAATATAACACAAACTGCAAATTTGGCATTTCTGCTGATAAAAAAAGTATATCAGTAATTCCACTGGGTATATATATACTATATGTTTAACATCTCAGTAGCATACTCTTTATGATGCCTTTGACACCTGCAGAGAAATCACATCAAATCTGTAGCAGCAGTATTACGTAATGCACCAGATTTCAATGTTCAAAACATCCTGTTCTTTACATAGCCTCCTGTCTTACACAAAAGCAGTTAAAAATAATATAGCTTGTTCAAGAGCCAGATTTAAAAGCTTATGTTCATAGACTTTTAAGGCTCATCTTGCAAGGCAGTTTTGTTATACCTGTGAGCTGGGCAAGGAGGCAGAAGAAGGCACAGAGGGAGGAAAGATTTGTGAATTGATTGTTTCAGGCTTTTTTGGGGGAAAAAAAAGCAACTTCAATCACTCTGCATTTATGGAAATTCATTTACTATTCTGAAAAGTAATATGAAAAAGAAGTGAAACTTGTAAGAAATTAGTAACAGAATAAGTCTCCCGTAGCTGGACTGGAGATTGATTAAAGTCATGGGATATTTATATTTGTAGTTTGAAATCTGGAGGTTTGGATCAGCTAATTAGAAAGATAGATACCATTTGCAAAACTTGGATGTTGATCCCGAAGCAGATTTTGAGTTCATCAATCGTTTGGAATGTTTAAAGGAGAGGAAGCTTGGCTCTGCTCTTGATTTTCACACTAGAAGGCTCTAGCTGCCTTCAGTGATGAAAGGAAAAATGAATAGGAGAAGAAAGGAAAAAAAGGAAAGAATGGCTCTATGTAGGCTTCTACAGCCTTGCTATGTAACATGTACTTTGTAATACCCTCAGAGCTGCTGTTACAGAACTGTGCGAGTAATCAGCCACTCCTCACTGGCATCTTGGGTTCCTGATGTTGAGAGGGATGTGAGCAGAACAATGCAATTCACCAGAGCCTTTATGGTCTTTTCACACTCATAAGTCCTAAGACCAATCTTTTTGCAATCAAAACACAAAGCTATAATTGATTGCTTTATTCTTGTTTTCACAAGCTGTTGAGAGCTGTGCTGTTCTCCAGTCTGTTTATGAAACACTCATTTACACTGGAAAGCAGGGTATTGATAGTATGTTGAACTGGGAATAAAGGGACCTGGCTCAGCAAATCAGTGAAGTCTGCTACCAACTCCTGGCCTTTGAAGCACTTCTTATGCACAGATTGTATTTACAGTTACCAAGTCTAAAAACTGTAAAGACATTCATTCTTGCTTAATAAGGTGCTTTGAGATCATAGATGAAAAGCACCAGGAAAAAAATAACAGTAATTTGTACCAAAAATAACCAGTGCTGCAGAATGAAGCACCAGGTCACAGACAAGCTGAATTTCATACATCCATTGAAGGGTCTTCCGTTTATACCAGATGAGATTTGAGCCCAGTGATTTTGTCCAAATACCTACATACAGTCTATTTGTAATGTATCCCTCATAAAGCTCTTCCTCTTACTTCCTGTGAATAGGAATATTGCAAAACTGCACAGAGGAAGTGGAAGTTTAAAAGCTTTGCAGATACCAGATGGAAAATGTGATAAGAAACTGAAAAACAAACATTTTGTTTTCATATACATTAATTACACTTCAGAAAAGTTAACTTCCACTCATATCTTTCCCTCAATTTTTTTTCCCAGAACTTTTCATTCTTGTACTAACACTTGTACACTGCAAGGGCTTCTACCAATAAAAATAATAAGAGTCTGGTATATGTTTTATTTTCAAAGGCAGCAAAAAGTCTTCTTTTATGTAGAGGAAATAAGCCAGAATCAATAGAGATATAACCTGTTGGCTTTATTAAATCACTGCAACAAGACTTCTCATTTGACTTCTACCAAAGTGCAGTCTCCTTTACTGAGCCTCTCTGGGTGATGTTTACCAAGGTTTTTTTCTGCAGGAAATAGTGGACAAACTCCAGATCTCTGAAAGAATGACAAATAGTATGAAATACAGAGTCTCCCACAAGAATGCCAGCGACTTCAACTCTTATGGACCTGGGAAAGACCAAACAAAATTTACACATGGCCCAAACCCAGACTGGGGTCTGGCACTTGAATCATCCTGGAGTATTTTCAATCCATCTCACTTTATCCTAGGATCTG